CTCCAGGAGCTTCCTGCATGGATGTTATTTCCCTTCGTATCTGTGCCTTTTCTGTCCGTGTATGATAAGTATTCATATTTTTATTTGGGTACAGAAATTGAAAGATAGATGTCAAGCTCACAAACTGTTTCCTTCTTTAACAGACATCAAAACATAGAAATTATTAATTGCATATGATTTCTCTGAAATCTGTATCATGTTTATACAAATATGTATTTGTTTAAATCTCTATTGCATTGACTTCAATGAAATAAGCATTTTCTTATTAGAATCAACTGACTCTGTGACATCTGTACTGGGACAGTTTTTACCAGTTGGAGGGAAACTGAATACCTATGCACAAGAGGTGAGGATGTTTCTTCCACCCCCTCTTTAGAAATTCCGTTTGACAACCAGACTCCAGGTGCTGAGAGCCACCATGATCACGCCCCCTTCCTATTTCAACGAAGATATATGTTAGATAATGCTATATATACTTACTAGGTAACCATTGTCTGTTCGGGCACCTTATCTCACATTTCTGTGTTATCTCTGCATGGATATATGTTTTAAGAAAGTTTCATGGCACTACAGGACAGAAACTGCATTTTTCACTGATTTGCTTCCCTTAAACGCAGACTGGGTCAGGAAACCCACTTTTCCTATAGACTACCCTTCAGCGGCACTTTGTGTATTGGAAAAAGCTGCAGTAAAGAGAATTTACAGCTACAGAGAAAATAGCAAAATAGCATAACCATTCCTTAGAGGAGGAAAAATCAGAAAGACTTTATCAGAATAAACAACATCAATAGAAGATGTAATACTATTAAATCTTGTGGCAGCTAAAATAGAAAATCTTTTGTTGAATTATTAAAATAGAATACACTAACATTCCGTATAATACTGTTCAAAATATATAAACTTATGCATTCATTGATAAGTTGCTAGACGTTTTTCTTGGACTTCCCCCAAAGCCTTTCCCTTTGTCCTTTAGTGCTTCAGAATGCAGGTTTTTTAAAATGTTACATAGCTGTGGACAAGGCATGTGTCTATGGACAGTAGCCATATTGCTGTTCTTCCATTAAATTTTCTTTCCTGATTTTATTTATTTATTTAGGCACTGTTAACCTGCTTTTCTCTGCTCAGTGCAGACACAAAGATAGCTTACAATATCAAAAAAGAGCAACAACAGAAAACCAGTTCTACAAATATATATATATACAGGGGTCATTTCCTGCAGGAGCGCACAGGAGTGGAGCTCCAGCAGTAAGGAGCCCAGGGGGTGGGCACATGCAACAAGCCCCACCCCCTGCTCCCAGCAGCCCTCAGTCGGGGCACAAGTAGCAGGCAGGTAACTTGCAGAGACCACACACCCCC